ATTGAGGCAGAAATACAAGATATTTATATAAAATACATCAATATGAAATAGATATTTAAGATAGTAAAGAAATATAATAAATATAAGAAATTAAATATAATAAAGAAATATGTGAAATTAGAGATCGCTAAGAAATTAGTGAAATCCGAGAAATTAAGAATCGTGATCGACATGATTACCATTCGATTAGGTTAGGCGCAGTATCGTGCGTCATAACAAGACTATCACAGTGTTGGCAATTGGACCAATTGGACTTAATAAAATTGCTCCACATGTTGAATTGGACATATAAAATTTATATTTCTACTTGTACAATTCAAGCAATTGAAATGATAAAGTAGCCAACACTGGTTATAGCCACACACAATCAATAAATATTAGACTTTATACTCAAACTTAGTTTCGTTCCTTTGCACTTTGTTTACTATTTAAAGAAAATGATACATTAAAATTGATACTTTATTTTCAGCATCTGAGAGTCAACAAATTATTAATAATTTTTTGTCCAAACATTCAAAATATTTACGTAAAGGTAAATTTACGATTTTGTTTTGTGTATGCTGTTATTTAAAGTCATTATTAAACGATTATATCAAAATCGATTTCCGACTTTGACAAAGCAATAGAACGATTTACTTTTTTGATTATTACTTCTGCGGTTCGCAAATAAGGGATTTAATTTAGTTTAGTTTTTTTTACTTTTGTTAAAAATCTTAAATTTTATCAATTGTTCTACGAAATATTAAAATAATTAATTTTATTATATAAAATATATGTTCATATTTAATAGTTATTCAGCACCTTGCCGAATAACTATATGGTATTTTCTCTGCAATATTTCTATTGAAATGCAAATTTTATTTTAATAATGAAATTTATAAAATCATAACGCTTTAATATGTTTTAAGAATTAGCAGGTATGATGAATAGATTTATAAAATTCTTTAATTTATTTTATGTAATTTTCTTAATAAAAGGCTTCATAATTAATGTATATTAAAAATTACATGATATCTGATAAATTCATATATTGCGTTAAAACGTTTCATTCTCAAATTGAAACTAGTGATAATTTTTTAAGTACTGCATATTAAAAAAATTAATTAAAATTATTATAAAATTATGTCAATGGAATTACTCAAAAATATATTGCATTATAACTTTGACTCAAAATATCTTGAAATGATTAATAAATATAAATGCGTTGATTTGTTTGCATAGTACAATTAACTATCGGTATGGCAAAAAACATAACAAAATTGTCAAGCGAAGCGCCTTTGCGAATTTATAATTTGAGTAAATTATTAAAATTATTAAGCGATGCTATTTTTGAGTTATAATTTTACGGATCATAAAATTTTTTTATATTATTTTTTTCGAGATCTTGAATGTCCGAAATACGTACATTTTTGTTTGCTCAATTTAGCTTATTATAATCTAAAAATTACAAATAACTAGTAAATTTTAATAAAAAAAAGTATTTGAAAAATTATTAACCTTTGTGACTTTGCTTATATGACGACCCCAAATTTTCTTGCATAAATTTAACTGTCTGCTTCCTAGATGGCGGAAACTTGAGAATAAATAACGGATGAAATACTAGTCCGGACAAAATATTCTTGGCACAATGCTAGTAAAGTTTTGAATGTTTGAATTCGTTTAAAATGTCATGCGTTGTATTATGTATCGTAAACGAAACTCGGAAATTTGCAAAATTCTGGAATCTCAAATTCGACAAAATCATTTAATGATAACGACTTTAAATAAATTTAATAAACATTAGTGAACAACAACACGAGTTATACTTGAAGGTTTGACAATTAATAATTCATGAAATAGTTGATTGAAGATGAAGAATGAAGAATTTTCATTGTATCAAGTCCTTCAAATAATGAACAAATTGAAAATTTAGTTGATTGTGTATGATTTCAACATTGAAAAAGAAAATGTAACATCAAAGAAATATAAAATATTCAATAATACCTAAAAGGTGTCATTTGACAGCACAAAATTGTGACAATATTTTTGACTTTAATATCTTTATCTTTTGATTTAATAAAGTTTTTATAACCGTTATATGCTTAAAAATTAAATAAATTTAATACAGAATTAGCCCGATTTTTGATTTATTCAAAATCTTATTTATTTTTTTTGAAACCAATCATTAGTATCGTTAAATAATTTCATTTTCAGGTATTTATCTAGCGTTATTTTAAAATTATTGAGATCTGGGTAATAAAATTTGTATTTTGCGGTTTTTAGATCTTTTGGTGGTATTTTTTTTTTTTTTTATCCTTTTCAATTTCAAATAATAGGTGGCCTTTTTTTAAACATATTTATTGAATTTGGCTATTTCCACTTTTTAAAATATAAAAAAAAACAAATTTTCTTTTAAATTATTTTCTTCAATTTTTCTTTATTCATATAATCAAAATATTTCAATGACTTTAAGTTCCAATGTATTGAATTTACTGATTTCCCCACTTTCCGATTGGGCATAATTCTTAAGTATATTTGTCATACACCCAAAAAATTTTCTAATCTGTGTTAATTTGTTTAAATCGAAAAGTGGGGTAGTAAAATCCAATGCTAAAGCTTGTGCACAAATAAACGTCGTTATGTAATACGATTAATTTCATTTATGTGACAATATGATGCTATAAAGAGGGGCACCAAAAAAATTCACCACTTTCTGTTCACATTTTACAGAGCCAGTATTATAATGCCAGTCAAATTCCAGCCGATATTATCTATAAAAGTAAAGATTTGCTGTATGCATATCTTTTATTTATGTTTTGGGACCTGTGACAGACAGAGTTTTTATTTTTTAATTATTTATGTATTCTTCGTACAAAAGAAATTATGAATTACCAATTAGAATTTTAAAATTCTGTAATGTAACAAAACTATATCATATGCAAAAATCTTTTGTGTAAAAAAATTTAATTCTTTCGTAATTGTCTTAAATTGCAATCATGTCAAAGAATTATTCAACACATTTCGTATTATGGTTTTTAGTTCATTTATTATTAATTGAAATAAATTGCCAAACTGCGCCCTTTAAGCCGTTAAGACGAGAAAGTCATACTTCAACACACATAGATGATAAACTTTACATTTTAGGTGGAAGAAATGAAGCTGGTGATATAAAAGTTGGCACATAATTTTTTTATATTGACTTATATGTTCCATTTAACACTCAAAATATATTATGGCATGATTTATCAAATATCAATAATATTCCAAAGCTTACTTCTGCTGCATCTGTTAGGGGTGGTATAAATAATAAAACCTTGTTTTTGCATGGAGGTTTTCCTTACACGGAAAATGAAGTAACATTAGTTTACACATTTGATACTCAAAGTAATTCATGGAGTATTCCAAAAATAACCGGTGACATTACAATTAGAAAAGATAACCTAAAAGCTATCGTTGATGATAATGGGAAAATGTATTTATTTGGTGGGCAATCTAATGAAACCATTACAAATGATATGCTTATTTTAGACACAATAAATTTAAAATGGGGAATAGGAGCTTCAATTGATGCACCTTCTCCAAGAGCTGTTTATATTGCAACTTACTTCTCAAAGCAGTTCATTGTTTATTTAGGTGGCTATTATGCCACAACTAAAAATGATGGCGTTTCTTTATCATTAAAAGAGGTGAAATATTCAACGACAATTCAAATTACAAATATTTTGAAAGTCTATATTTTAATCAATTATTAATTAACTCCTAGATCTACTATTATGACATGCATGGTGATATGTGGCTTATTAGGGTAAGTTTGATAATAATTTTATTAGTAGTCAGTTTTACTTATTTATAATGATATAATTAGGTGAATTCTGGTACAATTCCTTCTGATAGAGATTCCTTTTCTGCTGTTCTTGGTAATTACTTTATTAAAAATCATTATTATAATATTCATAATATTTATTTTGCTGATTAAATCTATTAATATTCTAATTTTTTCAATAAAAGGATTGGATGGGCAACGATTGATAATTTTTGGAGGAGCTAATTATCTTAATAATCTCAACCCTCAGGATGCACTTTATGTATTAAATTTAGCAAATTATGAATGGTACATTCCAAAAATTTCTGGAACAATTCCAGGTTCCAGATATTGGCATCAAGCGAACGTAATTGGAAAATATATGATTATATCATTTGGTAAATTGCAATCATATATGTTATTTTTTCTTGATTTGGTATACTTTCTTATGCACAAAATAAATTTGTAATAATTATAAATTCTATAGAATATAGTTATGATATAAACGTGGATAATGATATTTTATTACTTGATATAAGTAATAATGAAGAATATGTGTGGACTAACATTTTCGATCCAAATTCAACACCGACCGACTCTTCAAAAAATTCAACAAATGATTCCTTCACAAAAGCTCCAACTAATTATAATTGGTGCAACTATAGCAACCTTCGTGGGTGCTATTTTTCTATTTCTTGGAGGCTTTTACTTGCATAAATGGAAGAAAAATAAAGAGGAGTATAATGAAGCAATACCAACTGCCGGAAATGCAATTTAAAGTGGCAAAATACTAAATTGGAAATTAAAATTTTTTATTATTCATGTGTTAGACAGAAACTGTTATAAATAATTTAACTCACAGAATTTGATTAATTTTTCACATAAATTTATTATTATTATTATTTTATAATATTGATGTTCTTTTAATAACTTAATTTAGATAATAATACCTTTAATTATCAAATAAATTTTCTAGATTTTTAACACTTCGATTTAAAAATTCTTAGACAGTTCAATTGCACTATAAAAACTGATGCGTTATCAATATTATTGAAATAAAAATTTGACATTTTTACATCATATTCTCATTAAATATTTACGCAATTGTACATATTCATTCATTGAATATGGAACGACTAAATAAACAATTTAAATTTGAAAATTGTATCAATATATTTTTTTAACGATTTTCCAAGGAAAAAAATAGTTCAAAAGAACGATGTAGAGATTGTTCAAAAAATCGATTAATTTAATACAAATACTAATTTTTCGGAATTTTTGCTAGAATTAAAATTCGCTTTAAAAATTAAGTGTAAAATTTTCAAGGAAAATTTATAAAGCAAAAAAAAATTTTTTTTTTTTAGAATCTCATTTATGAAAAGCTTCATATGATACTACATAAAGTCAAGCAAGCGAATTAGACATTTTGCATTGGCGCAGCATCTTTAGACATTAAGCGATAAAATAACTTCGGATGATGAAAATATATTTAATCCCGTTAAAAATTAATTCGAATCATAATCAACCTATAAATCATAATTAACCTATAATTAGTTAAATATTATATAAAATAATTTCTAAAAATGATGATGTAGGCGTTCGAATAAAAATCAGCCGTAAAATTTGCTTTTAAATATTTTGAAAATCTCCTTTCAAAAAATGGATTATTAAAATTTCAGAGTTACACAACATAAACAAATTAATTCAAATAATAACTATCATTGAAATCAGTAAATTACTAAATATAAATTTGAATTTGAATAAGGAAATGGCTCGTCAGCAATATTCTCAAAAGAACAACTGAGATTACTGAACTGGTGAATTTTTTATCTTCAAAAGATGAGATGATTTCAATCGGGTGATATTATTACGTCAAAAGTCAGGTGATTTATCAGATGTTGCGTCCAAATTTTTTTTTGTCCATCATGGCGTTTTGACATTCCCAAATGATATAAACGGGAAATTTTAAATAATTATTCTTCTACTTTTTGTAAAAATTTTCTTTAATTATGAATCCAAACATGACTAATTACACATCAATTTATTTTATATTATGGCTTTTAATTCAATTATTAAAAGTAAATTGCCAAATGACGGCTTATAGACCATTACCACAATATTTACATTCTGTTTCACTTATAAATGATAAATTATATTTCGTAGGCGAATATGATTTTTTTTCTCTTGACGTGTCTAATTCATTTAGTTCCATAGAATTAAAATGGAACCTATTATCATTCAATAATATTATTCGACAAACGCATCGTGGTGCATCGTCTGTTAAGGGTGGAGCTAATAATAACACCTTGTTTTTGTACGGAGGACACTCCACTCATACCGTTACAACTACCGAATTAGATAAAAGTCCTGTATATGCATTTGATCCACAAAGTAATTTGTGGAGCCATCCAAAGACAGCTGGCGAATACATCGATAAAAATGACATAACAGGCGTCGTCAATAATAATGGAATGATGCATATGTTCAGTAATTTCTTTACAATTGGTGAAGGATTCAATGATATGCTTATTTTCAATACGATAAACTTTAATTTGGAGACAAAGATTTCAAATAATGCCCCATCTCCAAGATTCTGGTATGGTGCGGTCTTGTTACCCAATCAGAAAATTGCCTATTTAGGTAAGCAAAATATTTTATCTTATTTTATATTTATAAATTTTATGTTTATCAATTAAATGTGGGTCAAAAATATTTATTTAGGCGGTTATAACATTGCTAATGGTTATCTACCATTGAATGAGGTGAAGTATTATAAATAATTTTTACAAGATAATGCGCGCCTACATTTTTTTTGTTAACAAATCATTCTATCCTAGATCTACCTTTATGACACAATAAATGATAATTGGAGAACAGAGGTATATATTAAATTATTTTTATAACCAAGGAAGAAAAAAAATTCACTCAAAATTAATTATATTAGTTAGCTACGGGGAAAGTTCCTTCTAATAGAAAAGGATTTACTGCTATTCTTGGTAGGTATTTTATTTTATTTTTTAAAAAAAAAAAAAAAAATTGCACTTTAAATTGTGATCCTAAATATTTTTTATAAAAAGGGTTGGATGGACGGCGTATAATAATCTTTGGGGGAGAGGATATCGCTGGAGTTATACCATTAGATGATTCACTTTATGTATTAGATTTAATAAATTTTCAATGGTTCATTCCAAAGACAAGGATTACTGGATTAACCCCAATATCCCGACAATACCATCAAGCTAATGTTGTTCGAAACTATATGATTGTATCATTTGGTCAATTTGGTAATTATCATCATCATAAACATCATTATTTTTGACAAAAAATCACTTCACTGATTATTTCTATAAATCCGCAGCGTTAGATTATACACCAACATTTAAGGATGATATTATTTTACTTGATATCAATAATAACGATGAATATGTATGGACCATTGATTTTGACTCAAGTGCTTTACAAAAACCAGATATAACTATTCCAATACCAAAACCAAGAATCAAAACAGCAATTAAAATAGCTATAGGGTTAGTTATTGGTGTTGTTTTTATTTTGTCCGGATGCTTTTGTATATATAGATGGAGTAAAAATCAAAGTGAAGAAGAGAACAATAATAATCGAGATAGTATAGCAGGAATGAGTAATATTCCTAACCATGCATATAATGAAGGGGGGATAAATAATAATGTTGATAATGAACGTAAAAATTATGTTGGTGCTAACCAAAATTATGCAAACCAAAATTATGCAAATCATCATGAACGAATAAACCAAAATCGTGAAGAAGTAAAATATCCTATCCAAAGTCGTGCTGAAGATTATGGACAAGGCAAAGTTCCGGAAAATGTATAGCAAAAGTTACAAAATATATGATAATAGTCATTTAGCAGAAACGAATAAAAAGGACATCAATTCAAGTTATTGAAGTTATTTTAAATATGACGTATTTAAAGTAGTGAACAAAATATCGAATAAGCTTTATTATTTTTAACCAAATTGCTTTATAAAATTATGTAAATTAATATATTAAAATGTTGTATATAGAAAAGGATATAATTATTAGTAGTATAAATTGTACATCCCCTGTCATGGATCATGGGAATTTATAAAATTTACTTAGTAATATGCAGTAAAAATTGATAATCTTTAGACTGCATAAAAATTTATGAACTGTTATAAAATCCAGCCCAAATTTTTTATTTAAAATCTGATTAATTATAAAATTTATTATAATTATTGAAAAAAAAAATTTTTTTAAAACAAAAAATTTCTTATTACAAAGAATAAGAATTAATTTTTCTATATGAATTTTCCATTTTTACATATAAAAATATCTCATTTATTACTTTGCAAATGTATACCTTTTTGTGTTTTTAAAATTAAAACTTTTATAATATATATTTTTAAAAACTATAACAATTAGCTTTTAAATAAAAATTCATAAATTTTTATATAGATTGAAAATCATCAACTAGAAGTTGTAAAATGTAGGGTTTTCGTTCCCTATTAAGCGTCAGGTTAAATAAATATCTTATATTTCATATATATTATAAAATCAATAATATTTGTATCTACATAAATATTTTGTTGTATTTGTAAAATAATTTAATAAATTTTAAAATATGAGAGTTTTTCAGTGAATATTTTATTAGATTAAATATTTTTATTAAAAATAATTATTTAAATATATAATATTTATAAAAGTAAAGAAGTATTAATTTTTGTTATAATCATTCATATTCTTTAAATATTGATTTATCTGTAATAAATATTGAAGGATGTAATAAAGTGATATTAACTTTTAACCAATCAAAGCATTTATTTAATATAATATAAGTTTGACTAGCAGAAAAAATTTTTTGATCAAAACATAAATATACTTAATGTAAAGTTAAGTTTTATATTTTATGCACAGTAAGAGTAAAACAATCTGCAAAAAAAATTGATATCTTATATTAATAGTTTTTCATCTATCAGAAATGTAGATGTTTCTTTTTTAATTCCAATATCGATAATTTACACATTATACTAAAAGAGATTCTTATTTGCAAAGGATTTATATTAATATTTAATATAATACTAACAGTATTATTACGTATATTTTATTCAATTAAGTTATCTTTTAGATACGTTACTTAAGTATTTTGTTATAAATGTAGATGACTCAAAAGATTATTTTTTTAAATAATTTTTGGAATTCATCAGGATTGAATTGTTCTCTATTAATAAAATTAATAACTGAATTAATTAAAAACTTATTATCCTTTACTAATAGCATATTGCAGTCATATAATTTTTGCGATCAGCAATTCATTTGTATTTAACTATATTTATTATATATTAAAGGTAACATTGAGTGAATTTCAGTGATCAAAGAATCTATTTTTTTAATATAAAGTAGTCTATGTATCTAATGATATATTGCTTAACCAAATTTCTTGTAAAATATTATAGTATCATATATCTTAATTTTGTCTTTGAGATTGTTTTAAAAATAAGAGATAAAATAACTTCCATTCTGACAATTTATATATAGGTAATCTAGTTATGAAAGGTAATTAAGCTAAATTACTAACTACTATTACATTTAATCCTTCAAATTTAATTATTTGCTGTTTAATAATTGAAAATAAAAATAGGCATCATAATTAAGAAGTTGCAACTTGGTAAGTTGCAATTCCTTGTAAATTTATTTTAATATAAATATTTATAAATAGTTGCAACTTAAGTTGCAACTAGTTAAAAATTTTAAAAATAATTATAGAAACTATCTTTAATTGAAAACATATCTAAAATAAAAACTGAAAAGCCTTTCTGACATAATTGAAACTTTATAAATAATTAAAGTATATATATTTTTTAAAAATATAAAATATTCGATATAATGAAAATCCATAATTTGAAATTCACTTAGTTTTTCACGAATTCTTAATGCTGAATGAATTGTTTTTTCTTGAATGTTTATTATAGCAACTTCTATTAGAGCTAAAAGCAAATAATTTGTTTTTTTTTAAATTATTTATAATTAAATTAATTATAAATTATTTTCAGTATCAGCTAATCTTGTTATGAAAAAATATGAATATTATTTTTTTTTATATTAGACCTAAGACATTATGTATAGTTAAAATAATAATTAGTTAATTTTTTAGAAGGTTTAATTTATTAGATTGAGGAATGATTAAGGATTAATTCACAAAGAATATAGTTAAATATTAATTAGTATAGATACAGAATCATGAATAAAATGTTTTAGATTATTAATTAAAGCATTTAATAATTAATTAAATTGAGAGTTTAACTTCAATTATTGTATATGTAAATATTCTTGAGTCATTTGTTGAATGATTTTATTTAATTTGAAATATTTGTTTAGCCAATGATCATGATAAGTTACAAAGTTTATAAGTAATTCTTCTTCACTTCTACAGGGAGTTTATAATAACAATTTTTTATAAAATATAGCCACCTATCCTATAACATTAATATCAAAATCAAACTAATTTTAAAGTAGTTTTTTTAATTATATAATTGCATAATCTGTCAATGTGAATAGAAGATTATATTATAAATCTGAAAATGGATATTTCATAATTTTAAAAATATTACGAATAAATTAAGTCATTAAATTTTTCTTTATATGGTTAGTCAAAATATTTTTTAATATGATTTGCCTAATATGAATTATTTTTAGTTTTATAAATTAGATAAATAAGATGTATTGCTTTAGGTTTAGTTGATAAAGGATCAGTAATAAGATAAATAACAAAGAATAAAGAATTACATCTAATATCAAAAAGATTAATTTTATAGAACTTTATCTTCAGGCTATAACACATTCTCTAACTCTATTATCTTCTTTAATATTGAAAATATGGAAGATTCTGACTTTACTATATATTTTATTAAATAAAAAGCTAATTTTTGAGAGCTTACATATTGATTATTCATATGTATATCACAAATCAATAAAATTTGAGGATGATATAAAATGACTTTTTGATCTTTTAGTTTAAAATTTTTATAAACGTAAGTTTAAATTTCATTATTTAAATAAGTAAATGATTAAAAAAAATAGGAAAATCCTTTCTTGTAAATATGTCTTAAAGTAACAGAACTTTCACATTTTGATTTATAAGTATATATCTGATTTACTTTTACTTTTGCATATAATTTAAATTCTAGGATTTGATCCAGTAATATGATATTTTCAGCAATTATCTATTCAATTGATTTTATTACCCAATATATACTATGTTTATACATAGCATCATAATTTTGAAATTCTATACTTTCAAAAAATTGAATTATGTTGTCCTAATTTTAATGATATGATTTTTTAAAACATGCTTTTTGAATTACTTAAAGCAATTATCTTTAAAATAAGTACTAATCATTTCAGAATATAATATTAAAAAATGCATATTTTTTAAAAATTTCTTCATTTAGTTAAAGTCTTATATTCTGTATATATTGCATTATATCCTGAATTTCTTCCTAAAGAATAATGCATAAATACAGAAATAAAATATTTGATTATTTAAGGGTATAGCTTGAATTTCATTTGAAATAGAATAAAGAAAAGGAATGGTATATCTACTTGTAAGTTTTTTACAAGATAAACTAATTGCAATATATTATGGAAGATTGATATAAAAAATTAATAATGATTCAGGATTTGATTCAGAGTAATCTTGTAAAAGTTGATATAAAAAAATTTAGTTAATAAGACAATCATACACATTTTTTAGAATATATAAGATAATTACAAAATGCATATGACATGCAAATAAATTGGTTTAAATTAATTGAATAAAATTATTTTATAATTTCAAACAATTTGAGCATAGTGTCTATTGTAAATGCAAAGAATTTAATGCAAAAAAAGTTAAAATAAAAGTAAGAGAAATTAAAAATAATTTATACTTTAATAGCATTGGTATTAGCAATTTGCAAATGTTAATGATTTTGTTGAATAAAATGTTGTGGATCATTAATTTCATGTATAGTCATTAGCATTGTAACATGACTATTATTTATCTATAATAATGCTAAAACTTCATTTATCATTTTTTAATATTTTTGGTCATTTTCCTGAATTAGTACAAGTAGTACCATAAGTATCAAATTTTTTATTTCTTAAAAAATTAAATAAATTTATGTTTGAAAAAAAATTATACATAAAGATATTAAAGGATTTATTATATAGTAATTGTTTAATAAGATATCAAATTTTACAGTTAGTTTTATTAAGTCCTGAAATTTTTTCAATATATGGATAGCAATCAACTTGAGAATGAAATATAAATAAATATGTATATTCAAATTCACATAAAGATAAAATCTTATATTCTTGAGGAGTTGGTTGGTTTAATTTTAATTCTAAATATATGTGCACTATAACCAGACAATTGTGAAATTATTTCATCAATTGAAACATTTAAACTTGGAATATAAATATAGTAGATTTTGAAATTTCTTTTATATGTAAGGATTCCAATTTTGAAAACCAATAATTGGTATTAATAAATTAAGAAATATTAGATTTATGTAAATATCTTTTTATCTAAAATAAAAAAATTTTTTTTCTTATTTATTAAATTAAAATTAATAAATACATACTTGTTCAAATCGTAAAGAAGACATAAATTTGTTATTCTATATATTGAAAAGTGTTCACTTTTGTTCCAATAATCTCTAATAGCAGATGCTTTAAAAATTTCAAAATATATTAATAATTTAAGGCAAATATGTAATTCTGATAAGGTTAATAATTTTTATGGTCTTTCTTTACATTGATACATATATATTTGTATTTTTAACAATTACTTATAATAGTTCAATAGAAAAAA